ATACAGTATCCTTAATGGGAACTTGGTAATTTTGTGTAGTTCGTTTACATTTTATGTTCCATTATTCCACAACGACTTAACTATCTCACGTCATTCTTTAATAGAAATTTTTTGCGACATTATTATATCATATCGGTCATGAGGCACTCTTATGTTCAGTTTTTTATGCATGTTGATCAGTGTAACATAATAAACAACCAAACAAAAATTTGGTTTGTGTTATTCAATCAGATGTGATATAAATTATTGTTTTAATCACATGATCGCGACTGCCATTTTTTTCCGCCACTACTGTAAATAAATAATAATTAATTAATTATAATAATGAAATAATAAATACCTTAATATCTTAATATAATCCTATTCAGAAATTGTTGAAAAAAATTATCAAGATCTTTAGGATTTGTTATTACAAATAATTCAGAAACATTTTGTATTAAAGTTTGTCTAACAATCATCAAATATGTAAAATTCTAATATGTATCTATATTTAAAATTGGCTTTAGAAATTTAATCTTTCTAATAGTATAAATTTCTAATAATTTATCTAATAATAATGGTGAATTTTTTAATTTAATAATAAATTGACAAAGTTTTTTGATTTCATCTTCTACATATTTCATTTCAGCTTTTACTACCAAATTGATAATATAAACAACATATCAAAAATAAATAAAAAAACATATTATTAAATTCTTGATCTAATTTAGTTGCTAATTGATTATTACATGCTATCATATTACTTCTAATATTAAATTCTTTAAAAAGTTATGAAAGTTTATTTGTAATTAATTTAGCTCTATAGAACTATTTATAGGAATTATATCAAGCAAAATATTTTTTAATTCCAATTATTATTAATATAATAAATTGTTATTCCAAGATAATAATCTTTGGATCTGATATTCATATATCTATTATGAGAGATATTTTTATGAATTAATTTGTGAAATTTTGCCTATTAAATCATTTCTTTTTGTATTATAATTTTTTACAAATTTTTCTTTTAAAGTTTATCTACATAGTAAAATAAATTGAGAATTCAACTTATTAATAAGCAATTTGAATTCAATATTTTCAACAATAGAAAAAGGTTATAAATTAGTTATAATAAAATCAATTAATGAATTTGTGATAGAGTTGGATTGTAATAAAGAATAGGATTTGAAACGCGTTTCATTCAAAGTAATTTGATGATTTTCAGTTTTTTTATAATGAAATGAATGTTTTTTAATTAAATATTTTTGAAGGATGGTTATTAGATTGCCAGATGAATAAATTTTAACACATAATATGCATTTATAACTTGTTATTAATCCAGTTTCTTCATCTTGAAAAAAAATTTCCCATACATCTGACTTGTGAATTGTTATATTAGAATCTTCTTCAGTTGTTAAAGAAGTTGAAGAAATATCTGAGAAATTATTATCATTTTCATTTAAAATTATATCGCTAGACATTGTATAATATAAATAATAATACAAAATGAAAATTATTTTAGTTAAAATAATCAATACGTCTTACAATTAATGTAATATAGCATTTATATAGATTGATCATCCAAACTGATTTAAATACTGGTTTGACTCAATTCAGTTTTAGTTTGATTGAATCCTCAAATTAAACTGAAACTGATTTTTATGATCAAATCAGAGTCAGACCAGACCTTAGCATGATGGAATTTCTCTCTAATTGGCTACAAATTTAGATGATCAACACTATTTTAATTGGCTAAAAAATTGAATATAAAATTTGATTTAATATGTTTTTCATCACGTGTTTTCACTTGAAAATGCTTGCAAAAAAAATTTTGGATCATATCCAATAACTAACTGTATATCTAAAGATGTTACTTTTCGTTTAATTATAGAATTTGTTTATCAGAAATGCTAAAAGAAAAGTATATTGAAAACATACCCTTACCTTGAAATAGAAAAGTAACTTTGTCATCTACATTATTATAAGATAGTGGAGTCTAATTGAAATAAATAAAAAAAAAACTAAAAAATCAAGAATGTAATAGAAAAAGGGTTTGTAAAGAAGAATCTTTATTAATTAAAGAAGGTAATTTAATGAATATTAGCTGTAAATATTTTTATAAATAATAATATATTTTATTTTATTTATATGGTTTCAAAAGAGGACTCTACATTTGCATCAAATATCAAAGTATTAACTAGTATATTATATAATAAGTAACGTTGAGAATATACTAAGTTAGAATTAGATTTAACACAATTTCAATATATGATTGAAGAAGCTAATCCTGAACTAAGAGGATTTTTTTTTCAATAGTAAATACAATTATCCCTAAAGAGTAGTCAGCATATAACAAATAAGAATCAAAAAAATCAGTTGTTACTTTATGTTATATGATTGCAGGTTTGTGTAATGAATTTGTTAACCAATTCAAAATAGAGGTTAGATTATATTTAGCATTATCAGATGCTATATAGAAAGCTATTAATACATTATCAAATCTTAGATATTCATTATGTATTAAAACAGTTATTGATTTTTAAAAGAAAATTCAAGCAAATTACAATATCAAAATTGAAAATCACTTTTTAAAAAATGTATTATTTTTTATTAAATTTTTTAAGTGTAATTTTATGAAGTTTTTTTTTTAAAATATAATAGAAAGATTAATTATATATATATAATATAAATGATTATCATAACATTCATGAAAAATGAAGACCAGATACAGTGTTAACATTAATAGCAAAACATTTTACTACCTGTATGACAAAACCTGTTAAATGTCTTGCAATACCAATTGTATTTAATAAAATATCTATTCACAATCCAATTAATGTTGAATTTATTGGTATTTACTTAATAAATATACTGGAATTTTTGATATCACATATATGAAACGTCAGTTATCTTATATTTCATAAGAATATCAAAATACCAATACTTTTGATTATATTGAACTTTTGATTATCTATTTTTATAATGATGCTATTATAGAATGAAAGAAAAAAAGATCAATGATTGATCTTAAATTAATTGATTTTAAAGAACAAGAATTACATTCAATATAAGATTACTTAAATGTATTGCAAATGATTTTAAATATAGAAAAATAAAGCATTTGGATAAACAAGTTGCTCTAATTGTTGCAGACTGATTAGGACAACTATTTATTAAGAAGGTATTAACACATTTACGTGCATTAAGAGTACAGTCTACTATTCCACAAGAATTTGAATCATTTATACCAATTTTAGAACCACTTCACCTTTCACTTAATAGTAGAGAGCATGTTATGATAATATATCATTCTTTTTTTGCAAAAATTTTTCATTTTGTATTTGGAAAAACAAAAAGTTAACAAAAAAGCCTAAACCTTGGCATATTAATCTTCTTTTGAAATTTACACAAAAGGGTTAGATCAAAATTAAAAAAGAAATTGTAGAAAAATTTGGTTTAATGTGTAAAGATGTTGAATATCAAATGTTAATTGATTTATTGGATAATTTAATTCCAGCTACACTTGATATTTATGCAATTTTATTTCGATTAGATTCATTTGAACAATATGAAGAAACTGTATTTTGTATTTAGACTTTTGCTTTACGCTAGAAAAGAAAGAACTATAATAAAGTTCCTCTTGTATTCTTATCAGATATATTTTATTGGCAAGATAATCATCATCCATTTACTAATGAAATCAAAAAGTATTTATCATGTTTCAACGATTATTATGTTGAAAATACTCATAATTGAATAAGAGCAAATACTTCTTCTAATGCAACAGTTGATAACATTATTAAACAGGCTTATGTTATTGGTATATATTTAAATATTTATTTTTTTTACTGAAGTTAATATATTTTTATAATTTAAATAGCAGATCATGATTTTATCTTTAAAGATACATATTGTAAAACACGTCATTACCCATACAATTTATCAATACTTAATTTCCTATCTAATAAAACTAGCTTTTTTTTATTAGAAAATTTTCGTAACATATTTCATAATCAAGGAAATAGTATTCCAATATATAGTAATAAAACAATTGGAAGAAAAAAGGAAAAAGGTTAAAAGCATATAAACTTGCTACTTTAGAAGAAGAATTTGATTTACGTCACCTAATAACAGCATATAATACAATTCATTTACCAAAACCAAGGTTGTGGTCTACAATTAAATAATGATGGTATAGTGCTTGTTTGTGATCATGGTTATCATCTGAACTGCTATAATAGAAGATGTACTTATTATGAAATCTTTTATAAGAATGGCATTTTTGAAAATGTAAATTCTTTTTTAAAAAGAATTGAAAAGGAACCGATACACTTACACAGGATGATTTAGATGATGAAGTAACAATAAAATTCATCTAAATCATTTATTAAACTATTAATTAAAATAATATTATTTTTTAATTTAAACTCACTAAAAAATTGTATGATAAACCTGAAATTATTATATTACATTAAAAGAATAAAACTCATGTCTAAGACAACTTTTGCAAACTAAGAGATCTTAGAGATCTCCTCATGTATTATGTTAAAATAATAACAGAAAATTATCCTAGTAAAGTTTTGCGTCGAACGGTTAGATTTTTAATGTAATGTAATATGATCTATCGTAAATCTTATATATATATACTATTGTATAACTAATATAAATAATTTGTGTAACAATAGGGTCAAAATGAACCTTCGTCATGCTTCAGACCAGGGACGATGATTTTTTGTGGTAATAAAAGTAAATTCTATGAAATTTTGTGATTTAGCCAGAATTAAGCAAGGTTGGCCAACATTACGACTCATAAATTCTGCCCAAATTAAGTGTTTACCGGAATTACAATGGTTGCAAATCCTAAATTAGGCCAAAACTTGAACCAAATTTTGTGATTTTCTGTGAAATTCTGTGATCACAATAAATCATTGTCCCTGCTCCAGACCTTAACATCCCTAGTTAAGCTACTGATCGGTGTTAGTATATTAGATCATATCTTCTCAAGTAACACTTGTCTAACTATGGATCTGTACTCAAAAATTTCGCGTCTTGTCTTCACGAAAGACGAAAAGGCTGCTCTGCGTGCGTATTTTACCAAAAATCCCATTCAAGAGGAAAAGGCAGCTATTATTCTGCCAACTTGTGAAGATGATAGCGAAAAGGTTCAGTACCTGCAGAACCTCTTAAAACCAGAAGCAGGTAACTTAGTGTGTATATAGGGTAGAATACATAGTAATAGACACGTTCTTGTGTTGTTTATTACTAATTGTACAAAAAAAGGAAGCTAACGCAAACATTTTATATTGTTTTATGTACGCTCATATCAGCGCTTAATGTGCGCATTTTGAATTTTTCCAAATAGCATCATTTCTTTTTTAATGATTTTATCTAATCTTTATTTTAACTTTAATCATGGTAATAAGCGCCCTGTAATAGACAATACATCAGAATTTTGTCAAAAGATTGCCACACCATTTGAATATCTACCCAATTTTGAAGAACTCACTTCTGCACTTTTTCAGCCTTTTAACTTGAAAATTCCTCT